CAAATCATTAGGAAGGAGTGATTATAAAACTATATTTTCTCCTGTCAATGCAGCAGCCCTTAGACTAACACACTTGGCATGAATTAGAATGAAAAGTATGAGGATCTCCTTCATTTTCCAGTTCATGTAAAGGAGGGGTAGGAGTGGGGCCTGCCACAAGGCATAACATTTCATTGAATTAATTTTCACTCTGTACAAAAGTTTGGTATAAAGTGCCCTTATCACCCTTTCGAGATCTACTTTTCAGGGTTCACATGATTTCTAGAGACAACCTACGCATTTCACTGCAAAATAAAGATTGTAACAGCCTTACAATAAAATATGCATTTTCTGAATAATATAAATAATAAAACTCCTGTTCTGCAGCTTGAATTATAGTTTATAGCCCTCTCTTTGTCCAGGAGAGACTTCTCCCCCCAGCCTCATTCCTATGGTGTCTCTAATTCTTGAAAATATTTATCTTTTACAGAAAACACAGCATCAAATTACTTCATCTGATCCATTTGGGGATCCATTTGGAAATCCATTCGCCTAAAGTAGCTACTGTGTGTGTGTAAGTAATGTTTAGTTCCAGCATTTAAATATGTCTGAAGCAGTATTCTTCATTCCAATTGCACAGTTCAGTAACCATCAAATAGATCATCGGAACATCTAGGAACATTTCATATATGATACCACCAGAGACAATATCCTAGAACTATGATTACAGGTTTTTTTTTTCCTATTGTTTATAAAGTGCCAACAGTGTTGTACAAATGGTTTAAAAGAAATAGTAACAAATTCAACATCACAAGTTTTGTTTAGAGCAAGAGGTACAGGGTTATTTACTAATCTCTGAAAGGAAACACGGGGACAAAAATAACTGATCTCGGAAAAAATTCTCCATAATAATAAAATTTCAGCCATAATATCAACTTGGCTATTCAGATTTAATTCAGACTTTAGGGAATAACCTAGTGGATTAACCCTTGTGGTTACAGCCTTGCATTAAAGAGCTTACCATCAAATGATATAACAAGTAATTAGTCCTAAAAATGCAGGGTTTTTAAACATATTAGGTGTATATTTAAAGGGTCACTTCAGACCCCTAAAGCACCTCAGTTTGAGTGTGTCCTCTTTTTTTTATTTTACAAAAAGTGCAGATTTCAATAGAAGTTGTCACTTTTGTAAACCAATTTTGATACTCCCCCTGGCTGTCAGTCAGACAATCAGTACTGCTACTTCCTGGTTGTTTAGTTCAGTGGAGCTAAGCTCGGGTGACAGATAAATTCCTAGAGCACCTGCAGCTTTTGCAAGCTGTTTTAGATATACCAATGAAAATAATGCATAATTGAATTGGTTTATCTTCTAAACAGTGATGTATTTATTTATTTTTAAATTTGTGCAGTGGAGTGTCCCTTCCTCTAACTTGTGCTCTGTTTTATGGATACGTGATGGTTATGAATTAAGGTGTAGCAGATAATTATTCAAATTTTTTTTTTATTACAGCTATGAACAGAGCAATATTCTGGAAACTGAAGTAACCGAACAAACTCCATGGCGACTTTCTTTTCTTTTTTTTTTGTTTTCTGTCCATGTTAGTTATTGAAATATTTGCACTGGTTCTTGAAGTGATTCCTGCCCCACTATTACAACAACATAGTCAGTGGTCTTTTCGTTACCAAAAGTTGGCTTGGTTTAATACATATGCTATATTAACACACTGTGGTGAACACGATATTTTGTCTGAGATGTAAAGACAGCATATGCCTTCACAAACATGTTCCCTTATGTACATCCTTCCTCTACAATATGGACTTAAGAATATGTCTTAAGTACAGGGTGGGACAAAATTCAGAGTAGGATTTGACAGTAAATAACTTATTGTTAGTAGTTCAATTTCTTGTTTCAGGTATATATTATAACGGAGTTTTGGAAGCTTCATCGGGGGTAATCACACAAAGGGACAACAAATTAACCAGGGAAAACAAGGAATTTATTCATTAACTTACCATGTCCGATAAAGCTCATTCACATGGCTTCGTCAATAGGCAACACTGTCATTTTTAGGCAACAATGTAATCGAAAGAGCCTGAATTTGTGAGGTTGGAAACGGAGCTCATTTAAAAGATGTCATCTTCGTACCTAGTCAAACAAATCTCCACACATTAAGCATACATTGAATATAATATCATTGAAATTGGTTCATTAATAAAAATAAAAAAAAGTTGTTGAATCCTCAAACCCATACTCTGAAGTTTGGCCTTCTCTGTATAATAAGATTTCAGTAAGAACTCTGAGAGTTGTTATCAGTCCATGAGAGTTCCCCCCAAAGATCTAAGGACCCTAGTAGTAGACAAGTCAAATGGCTTTCGGGTAGATGTGGTTTGGAATATACATACAGCTATCCTAAGGTATTTTGAAAAATGAGAGAATGAGAAAATTATAGAGACCTTTGTTTTTGATGTTTTTTGCCATCATACAGTGTCCTTATATATATACATATATATGTATATATAAATATATATTCCTGTTTCAAAAGTTTATTCAAGGAAAGAAAGAAAAAAGATGTTTAAACTATTACCCAGGTTCCCAAATGATGTTCCTTATTTCTATTTACAAATAAACCAATTCCTCTAATAATTTTCATGTAAATCACATATCAATTTGAAGTCAATACTGAGTCTGCTGCTGGAATTTTGTATGTTAGAGCTACATATCTATATAACCAACACTGCAGCATTGCCTCATGTGATTAACCACTTAACAGACAATCCAAATGTTTAAATATAGAATGTCGAATGTATTTGGACTACATCGCCCATAATTCTATGATAGTCTTAGGCATAATTCAAGAAATTTATGGTGTAGCACTTCAGCACCCCTCGTTAAGTTCGAGTTTATTTTGTTGTTGCACCACATTTGACTTTTTGAAGGCGAACTAATTCAGTTCCAGCACAGGCTGCTCCTATTTAAATATGAAGCAAATATAGAGACCCTAAGTTATGAGTTTAGTTTCTGGTCCCTAAATCTGTTTGTACCAAGAACATTTTTTCATAGAAGGATGAAAGATAAACAACCGTGACCAGATCTGACTGTTTTAAAAACAAAAAGAAAAATGTCATTCAGATGTCCCGTATCATTTAATTCACCTTACCAAATAATTTCCATATTACAATGAGGACCTTCTTAATCAATGTGCAATTCAAATGTATACCTCAAAGCCAAATTGTGATTTGCTAAAATTGGCACGAATGGAGAAGAGCGACAACCGAAAAACCCTTCTGAATAATCTGGTGTGCTTATGTCCAAATGAGCACCAACGTTTATCACCAATAAATGATTTGCTCACCACCCGACAGTCTATTTGCAATATTTATGGAAGCATGAACATTTGTTTATGGATATACCTCCAGAGCAATGGGTACCGTTTTATACTATCAATACTACGTGAAAACACATGGACCCTATACTTTGCTAACAGGGATCAAAAACTTTAGCTGGAGAGTCATTTGATCTATATTTAATAATAAGCCCCAATGAACACCAACTGGTTTTGAAGAATACTGTGGAACAGTTAAACAATGACTACAATTTTTACTATTACCAAATGATATGTAACACATGCAACTTTTAGAAGATATTTTAGTAGCCTCTTTTTTATAATTGATCTGGTATCAGCTCGGAAGCATTGCCGATTGTAAGCGCTGCCTCCGTTCTTGTGATTATGAACTTGGACTTGTAATTAACTAGAGATCAATCATATTTACTACACATGCTAAACTGGAAAAATGTATTGATTTTAAAAGTGATTTGCTAAGCAAGCGAATAATTTGTATATCTATCGTATAAATGCACTTTTTTTATGAAACAGATACAATTTATTATGTTCAATTGATTTTTTTTTTTTCTGTGTTAAACTGGATCTAGAAAATACTTTGCAACCTTACATTATCCTCTGCAATGTCTGTATAAACTCAAATATTGTTCCATATATGATGTATTAAAATATACAGTTCTGCATACAGAAATATTCTTGTGTTTATATGCGCCTGTGCTAGAGACATGGACAATTTATTTGTTAATGATTTGAGCACACAAAATATTTTGTCTTAGATTTATTTATTATAGTGTAAGACCACCTGCATCGAAATACCTTTTTTTTTTTTTTTTTTGCCCAGCATAACTCAATTACTTGCTCTAAGCAGCATAGTACATAAAAGGCACCATATAGGATATGAACATTCAATTATTTACCACAATTCCAAGTATTGTTCTTAAAGGAACACGATAGTGTTAGGAATACAAATCTGTATTCCTAACACTATAGTGCCCCTGTTCCTATTGTAGTCAGCTGCCTTCCACTCCCCGCCCACCCTTCCATTGTGCAATAAAATGTTAAGAAGATTAAGATTTATTTACCTTTTCTAGCGACAAGACTCCCTCTGCACTGCTTATCTCTGCCCCTTCAGCGAAGTCTGAATCCTTCTCCAATATCCAATGCAATGCATCTAATAGAGGGGCCCGTGAATTCAAACATTCCGATGGGAAATAATTGAATCAGGTTTACTCAGTCAGTGCAGCGCACTAGAGGTAGACTTAACACTGCAATATAAAAAAAAATCAGTTTCTGAAAAACTTGTTTTGTTTTACATTGCTGGGTTAAAATGACAGGGCCACTCTACCTAGATTACTTCACTGAGATTGTAGTTCTGTATTTAGTGAAGTTACAGGGTCAAATTTTAGAACACCAATTTAACATCTGTAGATATATCTATTGCCACTTGTCCCCTCCTGCATCGAATATATATAATGTGTCTCAAAGTGTGGGGTAGTCCCTGTACATATGAGGGTAACATCAATGGTTCTCCTTGTGCATGCCAGATTTGACTGGCGTGCTTATGACATCAGTATGATTGTGTGCCTCCTTGCTGTGTAATTAGTAGGAATTGCATAATCACATAAACCAGTAGTGACTAACTCATAGCACAGCAGTTGTTATGAACTATAATTGCCATGAGGCTTATAAGTTGTTTTGACTGGCTGAACATTATGGCAAACTGAATCCATTACAACTTGGTCTGACTGTCAAATCTAATACAAATGACACTCAAAACAAAACAAAACAAACCTCCTTTAGGAGGAAGTGTGTTACTACAAAAAGTGCTAAGTGAAATGTTATATGAAAGCCAGCAGTTTTATACACTTGCGTGGAATACCCTCCTTTCCACACACATCAATCAACACCAAAAAACAACAGGTGGTACAAGTGGAGCACTGAGAATAAGGGGGTAACTTACCCCACATTATCTTGATAAAACCATTTGCATAAAATATATATATATATAAAAAAATTGAATATAGTGTAGGAGGTAATACAAAATAGAGTAATTTATATTTGTTAGCTTGTGAAGAATTTCTGGGTCAGCAATATTACTCTCTTGTGCCATGGACTTTCATCAATTTGGAACTCTCTGTATTTCTCCTCATCCCCAACCAGCTGGTGAGGAGCCCCAATTAACGAGACAACACAGTGTAAGGTTCAAGGTGGTTCTGACATTTAATAGGTAGTGCAACAGATTATATTCAAGAGGAAACTTGGGTGGTCTTATGAACCTTATCCAATAATAACAGAATTTGCCTATCTTATCTGAACATGTCTTAACCTATAGCTTGCAGGTGTAATGTGGGAATAATCATGCCTTGCACTACGCAGTTAGACATCGAGAAGCAACTACAAACTTACAAATAGATATGTTACTACGCAGTTAGAAATACAGAAGTAGAAAACAGGAAATAAGTCAAATAGGAAATAAGACCAATGTCCTGAGATAGCAAAGTTTGTAGCTCTGTGTCTAGGGGTATATTAATTAAGCGTTGTTAAGATAAAGTGTATTATTCCGATCAATATTTTATTACCATCTACACTATATTCTATTTTCTTCTCTTTTTATATATATTTGATGCACATGGTTATATCAAGATAACATGGGATAAGTTACCCCTTTATTCACATCTGTCCACTAAGGGTATAGACACTCCAAATTAATTTGTCACTATTTGTAGTTGAAAATTTAAATTGGTGCTCTACAATTTGACCCTGTAACTTCACTAAACCATGGCAAGGGTACACTTTGGAGGAATTGATGTACCTAGCAGAATACAAATTTCCTAGATCACTTGCCATCTGTATGTTTAAAGACCCCGAATACAACATTTTGAAAACTGTCAGTGAAGCCAAGTACGTTTTGTCATATGTGACCACAAGCTGTCCAAAGATTAAAAATTCATGGAATGTGATGTTTTTCCGGACCCAGGAAAAACAAACAAACAAGCAAAATACTATTTTGTGTGTGTTTATTTAGCCACTCTAGTTGTACGCACATTATTACACGTGAATCTGGAAGAAAGTTTTTGGTTTTCATTTTATTCCTAAATTATTAGTTTTATATATTCATATTGAATCAAAAGAAAGTCGTATCTGTTCAAAATAAAAATACAGGAAGCCAGAAAACCCCTGGTTCTCAAAGGGTATACAATGTATGTACTTTTTAAAACTTTATTTTTGAGGTCAGGAAAATCTAGTTTCACCCTATTGTAGCAATATTTGTATTAGCAGGCCAGGTATGCAACACTTTGTTTACCCAGTAAACAGAATGTTTGTAAAAGAAGTCCCTTTGATAAACTAGTTCCACTTGTCAACACTAGCTGTTTTGCAACTATATAAATCATGCATTGACCCTGTTGGAGTCAGTTCCTCAATTGTATATAGATGCTGTTCTGAAAAGCTTCATTTTACTCCCGGACTGCCAACAGTCAGAATGTCAATGAAGGTATTATCGTATCTGGTGGGACTGACCATTACACTGTGCATTTTACAGAGTGATATTTTTGTTTCAGGAAATGTAAGGTAAGACTAAATCTGAAAAGTAGAAATAGTTTATTTACTAAACCGTGGTTCATTGGAAAACAAACTTTTAATGAAAATATCTGGGCTTACATTTAGAAAATGCAGATTTCTATCTACCATCATTCACTAACACTCACTGGCTGCAAAATACAACAACCATAGTTGTTTTGAATACTTATATTATTGTAGTTTATATTTTTGCATTGCATATTGTGCTTAGTTTCTAAAAATCACTTGTAAACTTTGCAAGTATGTATTGCTGAAGATTCTGATTGGATAGGTTGTTTTTTCTCTGATAAATCATTTGCTGATTTTAAAATCATGTTTATTTATTTCTATTGAATGATAAATATATATGTAATAAAATTTAGGAAACAAGGCATCATAACTAGGTAGAAATGTAGGAAGGGTTACTACATTACTCAATAATCTAAATTAAGAAAACCTAGTAACTCTGTGCTGCTAATCTTGCTTGTCCAGCAAAGCACAAGATGTGCTCACCAGAGGAATAATCACAGCAGCTACAGCTCATCTGCTGTAGTTGTTGATTAAAACAGAAGGCTGTTGGCTTAGTCCTTTATGCAGAGAATAGATTCCAAAGTGATGGAGAACCTAATCTTTATATAGATTATTTTATAAATATTTATCCATTTGCTAGGACGATACAGTTTAAAGAAAAACTGCCTGCTGTAGTGATTATGGTGCCTGTCACGCACACATTTTACCTAATTAAACCATTTGAATGATTTTACAACTTATTATGGATCTTCTGGGTTCCTCCTCATATGAAGCTGAGAAGCTCCTGTAAGAAGCTCCAGTTATGTCCGCTGAACCAAGCCTTGTCATTTAGGGCTGGCTCATTCCTGATAGCATATGCTGAACGGGATAGCTCAGTGCAGGGAGCTTTAGGCCTGCAGAAGAGGAGGTAACTGGTGCCACACGGACCCCAGGTAAGTTGTCAAACCGTTGTAAAATGGTATGACTACTTACACTGGGAGGGCACTCCTGGCACCATAACCACCATAGAAAGCAGTAGGGGTTTTGCCACTTGGGGTGTTCCTTTAAAAACAACTTTGGTTATGTTTGGTTCAGACAGCAACTGCTATGATTCTTATTTTTCTTATACAACATACATGAGCTATTCTTAATATGTGTTTTGTTTGACATGTACAGGGTTGACTCGATGATTTTTGCAACCCTTCCTCTTGTGTTCCTTTGGAGTATCTTTTTTACTATGTCTTTCTTTAGGATTTTCTCTATATATTTTTTTTTATTTAGTTTCTATCCTTATCCAAGATGCATTTTCTGATAACCATTCATCAGTTTGTTTGTTTTTTCCACTTCTTTAATTTTTCTTGCTCAGTATTTATCTGTGCCATTTGTCCCTGACCCATGTGGGTCACTTGTTCTTTTTAACTCCTCCTCACCTTTTCTTTTCATCTCTCCTGCCTACTCTACCTGTGTCCTGTGGGTTTTTCTCTGCCTCCCATACCTGCCCTTGATTTATTGGATAGGTTGCACACTGGACCAAAAGGGAGGAAGACTGTTGGACCTCCAGAAAATGTATTACTTTTTGTTATTTCAATGTGGGGAGACTGGTCACTGAAACACAGCCTCCCCACACACTGTCATGATCCCACACACACACTGTCACCATCCCCACACACTGTCACAGTCCCACACTGTCACCCCCCCCCCCTTCACCCAACTACACTTACATTAAAGGACCACTATAGGCACCAAGACCACTTCAGCTTAATGAAGTAGTCTGGGTGCCAGGTCCAGCTAGGATTAACCCTTTCTTCTATAAACATAGCAGTTTCACAGAAACTGCTATGTATATAATAGGGTTAATCCAGCCTCTAGTGGCTGTCTCATTGACAGCCGCTAGAGGCGCTTCTCACTGTGATTTTCACAGTGAGAAGACACCAGCATCCCTAGGAAAGCATTGAGAAAGCTTTCCTATGGACTGGCTGAATGCGTGCGCAGCTCATGCCGCGCATGCGCATTCAGCCGATGACGACGAGAAGGAGAGGAGGAGGAGAGTCCCCCGCCCTGCGCTGGAAAAAGAGGTAAATTTAACCCCTTCCACCCCCTAGAGCCCGGCGGGAGGGGGACCCTGAGGGTGGGGGCACCCTCAGGGCACTATAGTGCCAGGAAAACTAGTATGTTTTTCTGGCACTATAGTGGTCCTTTAAACCTCCTAATCCTGTCACTCTCACCCTCTCCAACCATACCACACTCACCTGCCCTTGCTCTGTCACCCTATCACATTAACCCCTCTAATCCTGTCACACTTGCCTTCTCTCTCACAAACGCCCCACCAACCTGGTCACACTCTATCACTCTGTCACACTCACCCTATCAGATTAAATCCCCTAGTCCTGTCAGACTTACCTCCCCACGCCCTGTCACACTCACTCCTCCAACCATGTCACACTCACACCCAACCCTGTCAAACTCACCCTACCTCCTTCTGGGACACTCACCCCCTCAACCCTATCTAATGCACCCCCTTGCCCTATCACACTTGGCATGTATTAGAGTGTGTATTTGTGTTTGTGTATTAGAGTGTATATATATATGCATGTATTATTGTGTTTGTTTATGGATCCAATGTGAAGGTGATATGGTATGGACAATGCAAAGGTAAAGTGACAACATTTATAATATATATAATATACATAAATATACAATACATGGGGCAACACATATATGTTATATAGGATAATATAAATGTAAAAGGATTATAAAATATGTGTGGGGAATGTCTATGCCATTGTTTTCTTAGCTGCAACTTTATTATTTGGTAAATTATTTTTTAAAAGCTTTTTTGCTCAACCAAAATTTTCATTTTTGTTTTAAACAACAAATGTATACACAACTATCAGGCTATGTAACCATACCCGACAATCATGTATTAACGATTAACATAATTGCAAATTATGCCATAACTACAGTCAGAGAGCCCACAATGCAGTGGCACACAGAGCCATGACACTGCAAGCCTTTGAAAGATGGATACAGAGACTAGTACAATTCTACCCTTAAATATAACTACAGTTATAATGGCAAATTACCAGAAATAGCTATTTCAAACACTCTTATTTAGATATATAATGATATTACCATTATCATGTTTCTGAAATGATGCAGAGAATCTAACAATATCTACAGAAGAATTCTAGTGAATCCACCATTTTTTGATTGCTGTTTAAGTTTGATGTCAAATTATATAAAGCATAAAGTAAAATAATGTTTGCTTCCATTTAAATAGACGTGTGAGAGAAGTTAACCCTCCATCTCCAATCGAT